TGACCATTAAATGAAACCATTGGTGCTTAACAGAGGAGGCCAAAGGCCCAAACTTATTTTGAAATAAAAAAACCTCTCCCAGACACTTTGGGGAAAGAAAATCATAATACAATTGAAATACCATGACTCTTTCCATTGTGCAATGGAAAGGATTCATTTAACCAATCCCAAAAGCAGAAGCATAGTGCAAGCATTTACAAGTGCAAAATAGGGCTTTAGTCCATTTCCATCCAGAGCATATGCTAATAATAATAATAATAATAATAATAATAGCCTCTGAAACAGACAGGAGAAGCCGCAAAAGACAGCTAAGGGGTGTGGAGGGGAGAACATTCCATAGTGGCAAATATATATATATATATATATATATATATATATATATATATATATATATATTGGTGCACAGGGAACAGTTCCAATATTGAGAAAAGAATCCATTTCAATCTCTGATGTGACTTTGAAAGTTTTATTCTGAAAGGAATCAGCTCACTGGGAAACCTCTGTTAAGATAAAAATTAGCTATTAGGCCTAGAATGTATTAGTTAGGACATTTGCTATAGTTTAATACTTTGCTACATTTAACTTCTCCGTTATCTAGCACTGAACATTGCCTTTGCACTTCAACACATTTATTATTGAAGGAAGCAACAGACTTTTCACCTTAAACGTTAAGGGAAACATTACTCTCCGGGATTAATTTATTGAGAGAAAAACTAATCCCCTGGCCACTAATGTTCAAGGAAATATCAGTGATTTCCTTTTTGCCTGAAAGGAAAAGTTTGATCATTCGAACTAATCTGGTGAGAGCTGCTTCCGTCCCTTGGCCTTTTATGATCAGAGTAAATCGGGTCTGCTGTTCTGCTGAGTTGGGTGTCCCACCAATTTGTAGACCTTCAGCATTCAGGGAATGATCTGTGATTTCCTTTTCCTTGGTAAGGAAAGCCTTGATGTTGGTGACTAATCTCTTCATGGAAACTTCTGGTCCTTGAGCTTGTATGTTCAGCGTGAAGCTGACCTTTCTGTCTTCCTTGGATGAAACCTCAGTCACTCTGTGTTCTGTGTTCAGGAACTCATTACTGCTTTGGATTAATTTTTTAATTGATGTACTAATTCTTTGGCCTTGTATGTTCAGGGATATATCATGGATCTTCTTTTTGCCTTTTAGAAGAAACATGATCTTTTGGATTAATCTCTTAATAGATGGTTCAGTTCCTTGTCCCCTTATGTTCAGGGTAAGGAGCTTTTTGTCTTCTATGCTGTTTCCTGATCCACCAATCCATTCAACATCAGTTTTAGTGAAATGATCTGTGATTCCCGTTTCCCTAGTAAGAACAGCTATCAGTAAGAACAGTAAGAACAGTATCATCATTTGAAGAGAAGGGTCCATTCAAAACCTTCTAATAACAACAATACTTAGCATGCATATAGTACTTGTGAACATCTGGCTGTTGCATTTGATTGTCACCCTTCCAACTATTTCTTCCAGATCAGTTTTATGGTCTACCTAGTGCACATGGGAGATTAGCTGCTCTAGAACCACCTAGTAGGTTAAAAGCAGAGGCAAGTGGTGATCTACTGTCTTTCAGACTTCCTGTTTACCTTGTAAGCCACCAAGTTGGCCTCCTCTGCCCCCTCAACATTGAGGGGCTGAAGACACCTCAGCCCTATGGAGTTGGTGTATCTGTTCTGATATATGTAAAAGGTAAAGGGACCCCTGACCACTAGGTCCAGTCGTGGCCGACTCTGGGGTTGGGGTGCTCATCTCACTTTATTGGCCGAGGGAGCCGGCGTACAGCTGCTGGGTCATGTGGCCAGCATGACTAAGCCGCTTCTGGCGAACCAGAGCAGTGCACGGAAACGCTGTTTACCTTCCCGCCGGAGCGGTACCTATTAATCTACTTGCACTTTGATGTGCTTTTGAACTGCTACGTTGGCCGGAGCAGGGACCGAGCAACGGGAGCTCACCCCATCACGGGGATTCGAACCGTGGACCTTCTGATCAGCAATTCCTAGGCTCTGTGGTTTAACCCACAGCACCACCCGCATCCCTTCTGAAATATGACTCACCTGGAAAAACTGAGAGCATCGATGAAAGGGCAACTATCACAAGGCAGCAGATTTGCATGGCTGAAGCCTCTCTGAGATTTCAAGGATGCCAGTGAGAGATTCACACTGAGCCAGTATGCTTTCCAGTGCTATCTGAAAAGCTTAAAACTCATCCATTTATAGTGTTCTGTGTTACGCATTAGCATTCCTGATGCAACATGCATTATGGCCGAAATGCTTACCGCACTGATCCTTTAAAAAGCACAGTGTACCAGAAAGAGGAACTACAATATGGTACATTAACACTGTATTACTCCAAGAATATGCTCAGGGTTCACTGGTTTGGAAATAAAGTTTTACTGTTTCTAAGATTTGTTTAAAAATAGTAAAAGCCATGGTTTTCCCAGTAGTGATGTATGGAAGTGAGAGCTGGACCATAAAGAAGGCTGATCGCCGAAGAATTAATGCTTTTGAATTATGGTGCTGGAGGAGACTCTTGAGAGTCCCATGGACTGCAAGAAGATCAAACCTCTCCATTCTTCAGGAAATCAGCCCTGAGTGCTCACTGGAAGGACAGATCGTGAAGCTGAGGCTCCAATACTTTGGCCACCTCATGAGAAGAGAAGACTCCCTGGAAAAGACCCTGATGTTGGGAAAGATGGAGGGCACAAGGAGAAGGGGACGGCAGAGAATGAGATGTTTGGATAGTGTTCTTGAAGCTACCAGCATGAGTTTGATCAAACTGCGGGAGGCAGTGGAGGACAGAAGTGCCTGGCGTGCTCTGGTCCATGGGGTCACGAAGAGTCGGACACGACTAAACGACTAAACAACAACAACAAGATTTGTTTAAAGATACAGTTTTTATTTTGTATGGTCAGCACACATAGTTTATAAGCCTATCTGATAGGTCAGGGATCACCAACCTCTTTTGGCCTGCGGGGACAGCTGAGAGCTGGTCAAGGGCACCAAACTGGAAGTACAGCTTGCAGACTATTCTATTAGTTGCAAAAGAATCCTTCTTTCAAACCTAACTACAGTGGAGGGAGGGAGAAAGGGGACCTCTGTGCACCCATATTGTAGCAATGGGCACTGGTCTGGGCTTTTTTTATATGGCTTATTTCTATGGATCATGATATTAGTGAAGCTGGCATCCCTCAGGTGATCCTAGTATACCTCCTTTCTCATATAAAGGTAAAGGGATCCCTGACCATTAGGTCCAGTCGTGACCAACTCTGGGGTTGCGGTGCTCATCTTGCTTTACTGGCTGAGGGAGCCGGCGTACAGCTAATAAGTCATGTGGCCAGCATGACTAAGCTGCTTCTGGCGAACCAGAGCAGTGCACGGAAAGGCCGTTTACCTTCCCGCCGGAGCGGTACCTATTTATCTACTTGCACTTTGATGTGCTTTTGAACTCCTAGGTTGACAGGAGCAGGGACCGAGCAATGGGAGCTCACCCCGTCGCGGGGATTCGAACCACCAATCTTCTGATTGGCAAGTCCTAGTGGTTTAACCCACAGCGCTACCCGTGTCCCTCCTTTCTCATATATCCTAACCCTAATGGCTGTAAAAAATGAGAACATGAATCCTTGTATTTGCCAGGATGATCAACACCTGTAAGCCTCGTTCCATGCCCAATAAGTGTCGGGCATCTTTAGCCTGAGGCGCTGTGGCCCATAGATTTCAGCAAAATACTGGACAAGGTTTTGCCCAGTATCTTAGTATGTGCAATGGGCTCATGGGAACAAGCTGTCCCATGAGCCCTTGGAAAGGGGAAGGCTAAGTCTAGATAAGGCTGCTTCCCCTGGAGTTCAGAGCCATTTTGCTTTGAGAGCTTCCCAGCCAGCTACCCTTGGGGTACAGCCATCGCTGAGCAATTTTGGGTAACTGGTTGACAGAGCTGGAAATTATTTTTTCTCCATCTTACATGTGACAGCCCTTGAGCTATTTGAAGGTGGCTCTCTTCTCAGTCTTTTCTTTTCCAGGCTAAACACACCCAACTCCCTCAGTCGTTCCTCATGAGGCTGGGTTCTCCACTCTGTTAAGATTGTCTTGAATCCTGATTCTGTCTTCTGTGGCATTAGCTATCCCTCCAAGTTCAGCGTCATCTGCAAATTTGATAATCATCTCCTGAATTGTTCTCCAAGAATTCTCAAAGGTTATAGACAGAAGCTTAGAGAGTACATCCATAAATTTAATAAGTACCCTTGGGTGCAGCTCATCGGGTCCTGGAGATTTGAATTTGTTTAAAGTAGCTAGGTGTTCCCTTACCTGCTCTTTTCCTATCTTTGGCTGCAGCTCCTTGTGTTGTTGAGAGTCACCTGTACACAAAAAAGTATTAGCTCCCAGAGGTGGGAGCCCTCCCTTACCTGAAATTTTTTTAATATTGAGCATCGCAAGACCAAAAGCTTGTATTTGAATGGTCAAGGGCTACAAAGCCCAAACCTAGCTAGGGGAAATAGTTGTGCTAACAACATCTGTTTGTCTGTACATTTATGTAACACTTGCATCCATCCCCATTCCCTTCTGCAAATACATTGGGCATTCAACTCTTTTGGAGTCAAATACGTCCCATGAGAAGGTCTTAACAATTTAGAATCTCAAGGCCAGATATAACTTATGCATTTCACTTTCTAGCAAGGTTTGTGGAAAACCCACTAGGCAATGTTTCTCTGCTCTTCAGAGAGTTGTAATGTCACGAAGAGTCGGACACGACTAAACGACTAAACAACAACAACAATGTACCTTAAGCATACCAAACATTATAGGTTTCTGGTATGGTGTCTGTGTCTGGTATGGTTTTCTGCTATAACGGGTGTCCATTTGAATGGAAGTCCCAGAAACAAACCATTACATGTCTCTCTACGATGGAGAGTGAATTATGTGCATGCATTCAGACTATTCACGATGTAGAATGGTACCTGCAGGTATTTGCAGATCTACAGATACAAGTAACACTACCAGTCAATGTCTACCTCGATTCCCAGAGTGAACTCGCTCTTCTGTGTTCAGAAACTAATACGCAACGCACTAGAGTTTTGAGATTATGTTTGCAATTTGCAAATAAGCTAATTGCTGACAAAATAATCGCTTTTCAGTATGTTTCAGGTGACAACCAAATTGCTGACATTTTTACTAAGGCACTCTGAAGGTCACACATGATAGATATGTACAGAATATCCTTTATGTTTCTGTTCCACAATTATGAACCACAGGGGAATGTTGAATAGTTTGTTTAAATGTTAGGGTTCATTATTGTTCCACAGTGTGTGTACCGCTTTAAAAGCCAGGGTGCATATCCTGACCTAGTTTTTAAAGCTGTGTAGCAGTGTAGTAGGTGCTGATAAGTCACTGCAATTAGCTGTGTCAGCAATATAATGTGTAGTATGTACTTTCTCTGACCCCTGGTTGATTGGTGGGTGGGTGATGATTATAGACACTATATAAGATGTATGTTAGAGGAGTTTTGTTATTAAATCATGCAAATATATTTTTGCGTCTCTTCAGTGTTCACAAGTACTTAAGCTAACTGTTGTTTGCCTCTTGCACGACCAATCAAATAGACCCTGATTGTACATATAGCAAACTCCAGACGTGCTTTTCCTGTCTGTAGTGTCACTTCCAAAACTTGCATCTGCAAATGTTTCAAGACCTCCAGACTTCTGATTGTTAAATCTCAGTCTGTAATCCATAGTGCATTTTAAATAGTGTGCTATGCGTTTCAGAGCTTTCAAATCCTTAACAGTAGGATTGTTGACTTGTCTGCTTAGCAAATTACAGCTAACTGCAATGTCCGGTCTTGAACATCTAGCAACAAAGTTTAGTTTGCCTAGCACACTTCTGTACAGTGTAGTGTCAGAAAATGCTTCTTCAGTGTCATCTACCTGACAACCTGTTGTCATCGGTGTGTCTACAGGGTTAGCATCCATCAGGTTTAGTTTGTCCCTGACAAGGCCTCAGCCAGAGAAATGTGGGACAGTTTGCAAGAGTCACATTTGAGAACCCAACATCTGACATAAAAAAGAACATTTAGAATTCAGTGACTCAGGAATTCATATGGATGTGGGTCTAATGAGAGCCGTGCACCATCAGGAATATGCACCACAGCCAGTAGTGCTTTTTCTCACTAATGATGTTTTAGTGACAGCATCTGGGAGGAATATTTGACTCATCCTGGATTGGGCTAGAGCACAAAATTAAGCCCTGGTAGAATAACAATGAGTCGCAGATGCAATAGATTAGAAAGCAAGATACAGTGCAGCTAGAAAGAACAGACAGCAAGGGTGAAGAGAAGCACTTTCAGCATCATTGTCGACAAATATTCTTCTTGTTGTTGTTTACTCATTTAGTCATGTCCGACTCTTCGTGACCCCATGGCCCAGAGCACTCCAAGCACTTCTGTCTTCCACTGCCTCCTGCAGTTTAGTCAACCTCATGCTGGTAGCCTCGACAAATATACTTGACCATTAAATGAAACCATTGGTGCTTAACAGAGGAGGCCAAAGGCCCAAACTTATTTTGAAATAAAAAAACCTCTCCCAGACACTTTGGGGAAAGAAAATCATAATACAATTGAAATACCATGACTCTTTCCATTGTGCAATGGAAAGGATTCATTTAACCAATCCCAAAAGCAGAAGCATAGTGCAAGCACTTACAAGTGCAAAATAGGGCTTTAGTCCATTTCCATCCAGAGCATATGCTAATAATAATAATAATAATAATAATAATAATAATAATAGCCTCTGAAACAGACAGGAGAAGCCGCAAAAGAGAGCTAAGGGGTGTGGAGGGGAGAACATTCCATAGTGGCAAATATATATATATATATATATATATAGGTGCACAGGGAACAGTTCCAATATTGAGAAAAGAATCCATTTCAATCTCTGATGTGACTTTGAAAGTTTTATTCTGAAAGGAATCAGCTCACTGGGAAACCTCTGTTAAGATAAAAATTAGCTATTAGGCCTAGAATGTATTAGTTAGGACATTTGCTATAGTTTAATACTTTGCTACATTTAACCTCTCCGTTATCTAGCACTGAACACTGCCTTTGCACTTCAACACATTTACTATTGAAGGAAGCAACAGACTTTTCACCTTAAACGTTAAGGGAAACATTAATCTCCGGGATTAATTTATTGAGAGAAAAACTAATCCCTTGGCCACTAATGTTCAAGGAAATATCAGTGATTTCCTTTTTGCCTGAAAGGAAAAGTTTGATCATTCGAACTAATCTGGTGAGAGCTGCTTCCGTCCCTTGGCCTTTTATGATCAGAGTAAATCGGGTCTGCTGTTCTGCTGAGTTGGGTGCCCCACCAATTTGTAGACCTTCAGCATTCAGGGAATGATCTGTGATTTCCTTTTCCTTTGTAAGGAAAGCCTTGATGTTGGTGACTAATCTCTTCATGGAAACTTCTGGTCCTTGAGCTTGTATATTCAGCGTGAAGCTGACCTTTCTGTCTTCCTTGGATGAAACCTCAGTCACTCTGTGTTCTGTGTTCAGGAACTCATTACTGCTTTGGATTAATTTTTTGATTGATGTACTAATTCTTTGGCCTTGTATGTTCAGGGATATATCATGGATCTTCTTTTTGCCTTTTAGAAGAAACATGATCTTTTGGATTAATCTCTTAATAGATGGTTCAGTTCCTTGTCCCCTTATGTTCAGGGTAAGGAGCTTTTTGTCTTCTATGCTGTTTCCTGATCCACCAATCCATTCAACATCAGTTTTAGTGAAATGATCTGTGATTCCCGTTTCCCTAGTAAGAAAAGCTTTGATCCCAATGGCTAAAAGTCTCATAGAATAGTCAGCGCCTTGGGCTTGAATTTTCAGTGTGAAGCTGACCTTCTTGTCTTCTTCCTCGGGGGAAACCTCGGTCCCTCCACGTTCTTCTTTTAGGAAAACATTGATCTCTTGTATTAAACTGTTGGTGGAAGGACTAATTTCTGGGCCTTTTATGTTCATTGAAATATTTTGGAATTCCTTTTGGGCTAGGACAAGAAACCTGGTCTTATTCAGTAATCTCTTAAGAGCTGAATCCATCCCTTGCCCTTTTATATGCAGAGTAAATCGGATCCGCTGTTCTGCTGAGTTGGGTTGCCCAGGGAGTCCTTGGCCTTCGACATTCAGAGAATATTTTGTGATTTCCTTTTCCTCGGTAAGGAAAGCCTTGATGTCGCCGACTAACCTCTTCATGGAAACTTCAATTCCTTCAGCTTGTATGTTCAGTGTGAAGCTGACCTTCTTGTCTTCTTCCTCGGGGGAAACCTCGGTCCCTCCACGTTCTTCTTTTAGGAAAACATTGATCTCTTGTATTAAACTGTTGGTGGAAGGACTAATTTCTGGGCCTTTTATGTTCATTGAAATATTACGGAATTCCTTTTGGGCTAGGAGAAGAAACCTGGTCTTTTCGAGTAATCTCTTAAGAGCTGATTCCATCCCTTGCCCTTTTATATGCAGAGTAAATCGGATCCGCTGTTCTGCTGAGTTGGGTTGCCCAGGGATTCCTTGGCCTCTTACATTCAGCGAATATTCAGTGATTTCCTTTTCCTCGGTAAGGAAAGCCTTGATGTGGCCGACTAACCTCTTCATGGAAACTTCAATTCCTTCAGCTTGTATGTTCAGTGTGAAGCTGACCTTCTTGTCTTCTTCCTCGGGGGAAACCTCGGTCCCTCCACGTTCTTCTTTTAGGAAAACATTGATCTCTTGTATTAAACTGTAGGTGGAAGGACTAATTCCTGGGCCTTTTATGTTCATTGAAATATTTCGGAATTCCTTTTGGGCTAGGACAAGAAACCTGGTCTTTTCGAGTAATCTCTTAAGAGCTGATTCCATCCCTTGCCCTTTTATATGCAGAGTAAATCGGATCCGCTGTTCTGCTGAGTTGGGTTGCCCAGCGATTCCTTGGCCTCTTACATTCAGCGAATATTCTGTGATTTCCTTTTCCTCGGTAAGGAAAGCCTTGATGTGGCCGACTAACCTCTTCATGGAAACTTCAATTCCTTCAGCTTGTATGTTCAGTTTGAAGCTGACCTTCTTGTCTTCTTCCTCGGGAAACCTCGGTCCCTCCACGTTCTTCTTTTAGGAAAACATTGATCTCTTGTATTAAACTGTAGGTGGAAGGACTAATTCCTGGGCCTTTTATGTTCATTGAAATATTTCGGAATTCCTTTTGGGCTAGGACAAGAAACCTGGTCTTTTCGAGTAATCTCTTAAGAGCTGATTCCATCCCTTGCCCTTTTATATGCAGAGTAAATCGGATCCGCTGTTCTGCTGAGTTGGGTTGCCCAGCGATTCCTTGGCCTCTTACATTCAGCGAATATTTTGTGATTTCCTTTTCCTCGGTAAGGAAAGCCTTGATGTGGCCGACTAACCTCTTCGTGGAAACTTCAGTTCCTTCAGCTTGTATGTTCAGTGTGAAGCTGACCTTCTTGTCTTCTTCCTCGGGGGAAACCTCGGTCCCTCCACGTTCTTCTTTTAGGAAAACATTGATCTCTTGTATTAAACTGTTGGTGGAAGGACTAATTTCTGGGCCTTTTACGTTCATTGAAATATTACGCAATTCCTTTTGGGCTAGGAGAAGAAACCTGGTCTTTTCGAGTAATCTCTTAAGAGCTGATTCCATCCCTTGCCCTTTTATATGCAGAGTAAATCGGATCCGCTGTTCTGCTGAGTTGGGTTGCCCAGGGATTCCTTGGCCTCTTACATTCAGCGAATATTCAGTGATTTCCTTTTCCTCGGTAAGGAAAGCCTTGATGTGGCCGACTAACCTCTTCGTGGAAACTTCAGTTCCTTCAGCTTGTATGTTCAGTGTGAAGCTGACATTCTTGTCTTCTTCCTCGGGGGAAACCTCGGTCCCTCCACGTTCTTCTTTTAGGAAAACATTGATCTCTTGTATTAAACTGTAGGTGGAAGGACTAATTCCTGGGCCTTTTATGTTCATTGAAATATTTCGAATTCCTTTTGGGCTAGGACAAGAAACCTGGTCTTTTCGAGTAATCTCTTAAGAGCTGATTCCATCCCTTGCCCTTTTATATGCAGAGTAAATCGGATCCGCTGTTCTGCTGAGTTGGGTTGCCCAGGGATTCCTTGGCCTCAGACATTCAGTGAATATTTTGTGATTTCCTTTTCCTCGGTAAGGAAAGCCTTGATGTCGCCGACTAACCTCTTCGTGGAAACTTCAGTTCCTTCAGCTTGTATGTTCAGTGTGAAGCTGACCTTCTTGTCTTCTTCCTCGGGGGAAACCTCGGTCCCTCCACGTTCTATTTTAAGGAAAACATTGATCTCTTGTATTAAACTGTTGGTGGAAGGACTAATTTCTGGGCCTTTTATGTTCATTGAAATATTACGGAATTCCTTTTGGGCTAGGAGAAGAAACCTGGTCTTTTCGAGTAATCTCTTAAGAGCTGATTCCATCCCTTGCCCTTTTATATGCAGAGTAAATCGGATCCGCTGTTCTGCTGAGTTGGGTTGCCCAGGGATTCCTTGGCCTCTTACATTCAGCGAATATTCTGTGATTTCCTTTTCCTCGGTAAGGAAAGCCTTGATGTCGCCGACTAACCTCTTCGTGGAAACTTCAGTTCCTTCAGCTTGTATGTTCAGTGTGAAGCTGACCTTCTTGTCTTCTTCCTCGGGGGAAACCTCGGTCCCTCCACGTTCTTCTTTTAGGAAAACATTGATCTCTTGTATTAAACTGTAGGTGGAAGGACTAATTCCTGGGCCTTTTATGTTCATTGAAATATTTCGAATTCCTTTTGGGCTAGGACAAGAAACCTGGTCATTTTCAGTAATCTCTTAAGAGCTGATTCCATCCCTTGCCCTTTTATATGCAGAGTAAATGGGATCCACTGTTCTGCTGAGTTGGGTTGCCCAGGGATTCCTTGGCCTCTCACATTCAGCGAATATTCTGTGATTTCCTTTTCCTCGGTAAGGAAAGCCTTGATGTCGCCGACTAACCTCTTCGTGGAAACTTCAGTTCCTTCAGCTTGTATGTTCAGTGTGAAGCTGACCTTCTTGTCTTCTTCCTCGGGGGAAACCTCGGTCCCTCCACGTTCTTCTTTTAGGAAAACATTGATCTCTTGTATTAAACTGTTGGTGGAAGGACTAATTCCTGGGCCTTTTATGTTCATTGAAATATTTCGGACTTCCTTTTGGCCTAGGACAAGAAACCTGGTCTTTTTCAGTAATCTCTTAAGAGCTGATTCCATCCCTTGCCCTTTTATATGCAGAGTAAATCGGATCCGCTGTTCTGCTGAGTTGGGTTGCCCAGGGATTCCTTGGCCTCTTACATTCAGCGAATATTCTGTGATTTCCTTTTCCTCGGTAAGGAAAGCCTTGATGTCGCCGACTAACCTCTTCGTGGAAACTTCAGTTCCTTCAGCTTGTATGTTCAGTGTGAAGCTGACCTTCTTGTCTTCTTCCTCGGGGGAAACCTCGGTCCCTCCACGTTCTTCTTTTAGGAAAACATTGATCTCTTGTATTAAACTGTAGGTGGAAGGACTAATTCCTGGGCCTTTTATGTTCATTGAAATATTACGGAATTCCTTTTGGGCTAGGAGAAGAAACCTGGTGTTTTTAAGTAATCTCTTAAGAGCTGATTCCATCCCTTGCCCTTTTATATGCAGAGTAAATCGGATCCGCTGTTCTGCTGAGTTGGGTTGCCCAGCGATTCCTTGGCCTCTTACATTCAGCGAATATTCAGTGATTTCCTTTTCCTCGGTAAGGAAAGCCTTGATGTGGCCGACTAACCTCTTCATGGAAACTTCAATTCCTTCAGCTTGTATGTTCAGTGTGAAGCTGACCTTCTTGTCTTCTTCCTCGGGGGAAACCTCGGTCCCTCCACGTTCTTCTTTTAGGAAAACATTGATCTCTTGTATTAAACTGTTGGTGGAAGGACTAATTCCTGGGCCTTTTATGTTCATTGAAATATTTCGGATTTCCTTTTGGGCTAGGAGAAGAAACCTGGTGTTTTCGAGTAATCTCTTAAGAGCTGATTCCATCCCTTGCCCATTTATATGGAGAGTAAATCGGATCCGCTGTTCTGCTGAGTTGGGTTGCCTAGCGATTACTTGGCCTTCGACATTCAGAGAATATTTTGTGATTTCCTTTTCCTCGGTAAGGAAAGCCTTGATGTGGCCGACTAACCTCTTCGTGGAAACTTCAGTTCCTTCAGCTTGTATGTTCAGTGTGAAGCTGACCTTCTTGTCTTCTTCCTCGGGGGAAACCTCAGTCCCTCCACGTTCTTTTTTTAGGAAAACATTGATCTCTTGTATTAAACTGTAGGTGGAAGGACTAATTCCTGGGCCTTTTATGTTCATTGAAATATTACGGAATTCCTTTTGGGCTAGGAGAAGAAACCTGGTCTTTTTGAGTAATCTCTTAAGAACTGATTCCATCCATTGTCCTTTTATACGCAGAGTAAATCGGATCCGCTGTTCTACTGAGTTGGGTTGCTCAGGGATTCTTTGGCCTTCGACATTCAGACAATATTCTGTGATTTCCTTTTCCTCGGTAAGGAAAGCCTTGATGTCGCCGACTAACCTCTTCATGGAAACTTCAGTTCCTTCAGCTTGTATGTTCATTGTGAAACTGACCTTCTTGTCTTCTTCCACGGAGCAAACCTTTTCTGGAGAATCAACTCTCATGCCACCATCTGGGAAGGGAAAATGGGATTACTTAGCAATAGTCATTTCTTAAATTCTGACACATCTAATACCAACCATCATGGTTGAACTTTCTCTTTCTTCTAGATTGCCATCATTTCTACAGAATTGATACTCTCTAATAATAACAGGAGTTTGGATTCTCTTTTGGATACTCTCTAATAACAACAGGACTTTGCATATTTTTAGTACTTTTGAATTACCGACTGCTATGTTTGAGTTTCAGCATTTATACAAATCCTGTCAGTTTAATTAGTGTTCTTCTCTACCTAGTGCAGACGGGAGCAAGAATCACCTGGTGGATTCAGAGCAGAGTGAAAGTCAATCCTTGTAAACTGAATTTCATGTTCACTCTCTAAGCTTCAATCTCTCATTGGCATATGATTTGTCTCATTCTATACTTTAAGATCGATATGTATTCTGTAGGCCTCTATTAGGGCTTTTCCACTGGGATGTGGGTGGTGCTGTGGTCTAAACAACTGAGCCTCTTGGGCTTGCCAATTGTAAGGTTGGCAGTTTGAATCCGCACGATGGGGTGAGCTCCCGTTGCTTTGTCCTAGCTTCTGCCAACCTAGCAGTTCGAAAGCACACCATTGCAAGTAGATAGAGTTGTAGTCTTGGAGGTCTACATCCCAGCTCTTAGGGTACTTAAATCTTGTAGAACTGAGAGGTGAAACCATGGTGTGAAAGTCTCTCCCAAATTGAGGCAAAATTATAGTCAATTGTTATGGCTTGGTCTCTCCCACAAACATGAGATGACTCTGGCTGTTATTTATTTCAGATTTATTGCTAAAACAACAAACTAGGACATAGCTCCTCTACTCATCCTCCTCCTCAGAAGATGGAGTTTCCCAGGATGAGCTCCTCCCCCTTCCCCAGCACAGAAGCCCCCACCTCTTCCAGTATCTTTCGCCACTTTCAAGATCCTATGAGATTTGGGAGAGAATGCTTCCTGCATACCAAAGTCTCTATCGTGGCTCTCACACAGCTGCCTATCCCTCTGGCCCTGTTTTTCTCCTCCCCTTTGTTCAGCGCTCAGGTTACAGCAGCTCTCCCCCTCCTCTCTGCCTTCCAGTGTTAACTGTCCTCTCCCTATGCCTGCTTTTCCTCCTCCTGTCAGCACCTGAGCTTTGCTGACATCAATGGAGCTAAACCATTGGGTTTAAGGTTTAACATGAGCCAATATAAGATGTGAATTTCAACTAGTGCGTTTGATGTGATTCTTAATTAGGCGTAATTTATTTTAGTTTTAAAATTTTGTGTCTTTTAAGTTATTGTTGCAAATCTTTCTTAATTATAAGTTCTAGCTAATTATGTAAATAAATAGCTAATTATGTAGAATCTCTCCTGCAGATTCCATTCTGAGTAAGGCATTAGGAGCTCAACATGGGACACCAAAAATGCTGCAAATGGGAAATCATTGTCAAAGGAAAAAGAAGGATGATTGAGGGTAATTATTTTTGCAAGTTCCTCGCAGGGACAGAGAGGCTTCACTCACAGTTCATCATGGTACCTGGCTCTCGCTCGAGCATGAAATGTGGGAGGCAGGGAGGTGCTGAGTGCATAAGCACTTCAGCTGCCGAAAACCCACCTACGCCACCATTAAGAAGAAGAGGCTCTCCTGATAATTAGAGCTTCGCCTCATCCCAAGGAACGAGGGTAGGGTGAGCAAGGATTACTCACCTCCGTCACTGGTGCTGTGCAATGCCAGGTCTATAGGCAACAAACCGCCACCCTGCGAGATTTCTTTACCTCGCAGGGGGTCAACCTGGCTTGTGTGACGGAGACCTGGGTGCGCGAAGGGGAAACAGTTTCCTTACGAGAGATGGCGCCCCCGGGTTTCTCCGTCCTCCACCAGTAGCGGACTGTGGGCCGGGAGGGGAGGCATGGCATTATTAATCCGGGAAGATTGTCCTTTCAGGGCTCTACCATCGCCATCGATCCCCGGCATTGAATGTGTTGGCCTAGTGTGGGGCTCCGAGGAGAGCTTGGCTGTCTGGCTAGTGTACCGGCCACCTAGTGCACCAGCAGCCACCCTGTCAGGCCTACTGGAGGCGGTGGACGGCTGGGCCTTGGAGTTCCCTAACCTATTGGTATTGGGGGACTTCAACATCCATGCTGATGCCACTCCCTCCTCACAGGAGGCTGATGGACCCTGATAGATTCTGCCAAGCCTTGCGGGACCTTGCTCCCCCTGGCGAATCATTGACTGAGCTTGTTGAGGGCTGGAATATCCAGCTCCTGGCAGCCATCGATGAGATCGCACCTAAGCACCCTCTGC